ATTTATAAATGTGACTCAAACTCCGGATTATTTAAAGTATGCATTTCTCACTGCATAAATCCTTTAACCCATGATGTCAACAAACATGCAGGTATGCTTATATTCTTGATTTTTTTTCTATTGGCAAACCTTCAGATATTCTTTCATTTTGGTCATAAAGATAAGAGAATAACACTGTTCAAAACAGTAAATGTATTATTATTTGTGGATACTCACAAACCTAACAAAGCCATGCTTTATAGAATAAAAACTCTCAGTCATCTGTCAGATCTTTATGTAGAAAAGCATCACCAAAATAATGTATGAATCTCAGAACAAAGTTTACAGGTCCTGCTGATTTCCTAGATGTTTTGCTGACAGATCATTTAGAATATTGATGCGTCGCTGTTTAAAGACATTCGTGGATGAATGATGAGCGATTGTGTCTCAGACTGTTGTTCTGAGAACATCTACGGCCCCAAACATGGCACGGCACAAATTGAAACATGATTGGTTGATTAAACTGTCAGTCATTTAAGATAGTGGGTGGTGGGTGGTCCTTTAATCACACTTTGTGTGTACAAGTTGTGATTTGGAGGAAGAAGCTGGTACAAATAAACTGTGCACTGTCAGGTCTCTGTCAAAGTCTGACAAAGTCCCATAGATCAATAGTCTCTGGTACTGACCCTTTCTTTAATAACAAACAGCCGGCAAATCCAGTGTTGTAGGGTAGATTACTGTAGAGGTCATTATTAAAATGATAGGAACAGAGCATAAGAAACACAGCTATACTGTGGTATTGTTGTAAAAATTAACTTTAATTATTCATTCCTTATGACCTCATCTCAGCGATCATCTTCATGCCATAATCCAATCCTATCCCCCACAATCTGCTACAGTGTTTGAGAGGGAGAGCGGGTTCAAGTTTTTTTCTGAGTCTGCCCACGCAACAAGTGAGCCCCATTTCCAATGTCACAACGAAACGACTAAAGATCAAATGCAAGGCGAACCGTTGAAACAACTCTCGAGTTGACTTTTTTTTTTTAGAGACAATAGCTTTCTACACTATTTAATTTCAGATTTCACTTGTAATTTTCTTTCATTTAGAGCCGTTATACACTGCAAGGAAGATAATTTCAAAATCCCATAATAGCTCCTCTTTAGATGAAGTTATATTTGTGTATAAGTATGTCCTCATCTGTTGTGCAATATCACAAGTTGTCATAGGCATGGCGCTGCCTTTAGTGTGGTGCTGGAATAAGTCTTCAACCATAGCCTATTTGAACTAGACTATGACATTTGTATTGATCGCTAAAATGTACAATTTTAACATAATTTGTCTAATGCTATTATTGAAAAGATTTGAACTGTTTTGTCTATTTCAATCCTTGTTAATCATTTATTTTAGTCACAAATAGAATTTTGCATGTATATTCAATATAATAAAGTAGGCTTTATATGGTAAAAAGGTAAACACTTTAGGTTTGTTTCTCTCAGTAATTCCTTTATAATAATTACAGAGACCAATTGTCCTTAAGGTTGAAAAAGTTATGAAGATGTGTAAATTTGTGTTTATATTAAGGCAAAATCACCACAGGAAATTGCTAATTTTAGGCTGCGATGATCAGAACTTTTTCCTGCAAACTCCAGGAGGGACTGGTTGAGCACTGAGCAGACAAACAACACCCACAGACACTATTTTAACAGGTACGAGCTGGTAACTGCATTTGATTGCTGGTTGACAATTGGGAAAAGAATAAAACAGCTGTGAAAAACTGGCTAACCAAAGAACTGGCAAAAAATAAAACAATGAGGTAAACATGGTACACAAAATAAAGTATAATGCAATACAAAAATAATAAAACAGAAATCTCTAATATCCCAACATCTGAAAAAGAAAATCCCTGACTTTCAATTTCTGAACAGACCTTTAATCCTGCCCAAGTTCTGAAAAACATTTCTGATTTCTATGATACCTGTATCGTAAAAATAATTTCTAGATAAATCTCCAGATCTTTAATGGATTAGACAACTACTGCCATCAGGTACACCAATAACATCTCAACAAACTTTTTTAGGAAATCATCATAGTTTACCCTTAAAAATGAAAATTCTATCATCATTTACTGGCCATCATGAATTACTACCTTCTGTGGAGCAGAGAAATACATGGAACCATTAATCGGGAGGAGATCTGCTGTGTTTCAAATGTAAAAACAAAGACAAATAGATATTGAACACCATGAAAGGGAGTAAATGACAACAGATATTTAATATTTAAACAGTGTATCTCTAAAGGAATGTGTCACTTACTGTTGTTTCTGGATAATAAGCAAACTATGATGTTAACAAAAGCATTGAAAATAAGAAACCAGTACAGAAGAAGAATATAGCGTTCTCAACCCTTGAAGGTAAAGTTGGTTGTATTCATAATTAAATAGCAGTTAATAGGTTATTAAGGCATACTGAGAAAACCACGTTTGATCTAAAATTGAATTTTACTCATGTCTGAGAGCACAAACGCAATTCTGGCACTCTCTGCATGGAACATTTTCTCGCTTTCATCTTTTTTCCTTTTTATTTTTTGAAAGCTGAAGTATAACTGGATCAGTCACCTCCAGCCCCATCTCAAACTTGTGTTTTGTCCAGACAAAAGAAAGAAAGAGAAAGAGGAACAAAGTGAGGGAGTTTCACACTGAACCAACAGTGCCCTCATCTGGACAGAGGAACTTTGCAGGTGATGGAGCAAAACAACCCTCAAGCATGCTCAACATCTCAACTCTTTGTGATTTTGATTATACTTTAATAATGTGTGCATGTTTTAAAGCTGCTTTGGAATGATAACTATTATGAAAAGCATTATGAAATTAATTTGAATTTAATATATGGATCGAAAGAAAAAAAAAATGTACCATCAACGTCCAGAACATTGCCCATACTTACAAGTGCAGCATGTCTCAACATTAAAAAAAAAATTAAAAATCAGCAAAGTGTAAGATTATCATTTTAATGTCCAGTTTTTTTAAGCCAAGTCATTCGGCCAATATTTAAATGATGATTAAAAGAGTCTCGCATCTGCATCAAACCACTAGACAACAGAGCACTAGTCAAGGCAAATTACCTCAATGATGCCATCTGTCCACAGCTCAAATCCTCAAAGGTCTACAAGCTTTAAACGAATTCCAAACACACAAAGTATAGCTAAAGGAACTGTTTACGCAAAAATGAAAAAGCTCCCATATTTAAAATAACTAAGTAATATACCTTCATGTTATTCCAAAACAAACTTCATTATTCATTTATTTTTAGGGGAACACAAAAAGATAGATAGAAACTAAAAGTTATAATCTAGGATGTGACATACATAAGTTTGGGATTAATATGTTTCCTGATGTCTCTGAAAGCATTTTCTTATGCTCACCAATAATATAGATGTGTTTTAAAACATCATTTATTCCTAAGGGTAAAGCCAATGCTGTAGTACCCATTACAGTCATTAACCATTATTATAAATGCTGAAAACGCTTGTGCATTTTAATCCTTTTGTGGAACTATTTATTAGAAAGACTGTTTTGTAACAATTAAAAAGTCTTCACTGTCACCCTTGGGTTCATTTATTGTCTTTATCGCTGACTGTATTGTTAATATTCTTCAAGAAACTACAAAAGAGATGCATCCTACTTCCAAATGTTGTGTTATGAGAAGGAAAACAACTCATGAGGTTTGAAACAACATGATGTACGCAAAATGTAATATACTATTATTTTTGTGTAAACAAACACTTTAAATTGATCTGATCTCTGTTCCTGTAAAGCTGTAACCTTTATTTTTTATTATAAGTTTTCATCACGTATATATTTAATCATTTGGAAAACACTTTTATTCAAAGTCACTTTCAAATGAGAGCAACAACACTAATCAAAACAACAACAACAACAAAAAACTCTATTCCTAGTTATCTAAGGCCATATACAAATTTAATGTTAGAAGGTCAGATAAATGTGTTTTATGTAGGAGTAAATCTAAAAGAAAACAGAAAATAGAGCTTAAGAGTGAGGAGTAATTTGGATATGAATAAATAAATCAAAATCAATTAATTAATAAAAAGTGTCAGTATTACATTTTTTATCATAAAAATAAAAAGGGTCACACTTTATTTTAAGGTACACTATCACTATTAACAAACCATTAACTATGACTATGACTAACATAAATTTGCTTGTTATTAGTTATTAAAGTTGGGTTTAGGTATAGGGTCGGATTCAAGATGTAGAATAAGATCAAGCAGAATTTGTACTTTATTAAGTATTAATAAACAGATAATATTTTAATAATAGTCAAGAGATAAACCACTAGTTAATAGTGAGAACTTTTACCTGTACTAAAATATTACAAGAAAGTGTTAGAAGACCAGATCCATTTTTCGGTCAGGGGACTACAAAAGTATAAAAGTAATGAATTGCCAGGTCATTCAATGACTGGGGAAAAGTAAAGTATGTAGTAGGTGAAAGTTAAAAAATTCCACAATTGAAGCTGCAAGCAGAGTTGGAAGGGCCCTTGTTAGTGGAATCTTCACAATTTAACATCAAAAAATACTGTTTAGATTACACTGCCCAAATTTGGTGTTGACCTGATTTCTGAAAACGGCAAAAAAAAAACGGTTTTTGGGGGGAGGGAATAAAAAGTGAGTAACTTCCTGTTGGGATTCAGATATTGCTTTAACAGAGGCTTTAGGACATTTATGTTTCTGTTTTGTATGTGCAGTGTAGCTCAAGAGATACGTTGGTGCAGGTGATGCTATCATGCCATTTTGAAAATTTGACCCTTTTGAGTTTTGAAACCCATTTTAGATGTACAATTTCATCCCTTCTGATGTGTGTGCAAAGTTTTGTGAGGTTTTGAGCATGTTTAGAGCCACAAAATGCAATTCACTTATGAAAAAAATAATAAACGGAGAAATTCCAAGAGCATCCTCACACCACCGGAGCTCCTTTACGACAGTATATCTTAAGTCAACTCACCAACTGTCATGGACTCAGGAAGGCCGGGGGTCGGCGGAACACTGACCACAGGTTCAACCTGGGCTAGTAAGTCAGGCTCCATGCTGAGACAGCAAAATAAACAAATTAATAAGCCTCATTCTCAAAAGCAATTTGAATTGAAATGTTAAAAAAAAAGTGTTGGTTTGTATCAGATACCTAAATTGGAGTTGGCTTTGTTTTTCACTGTCAGTCGGTGGACTTGAGCTCTCCTTCTGTCCATGAAATTCCACATTCTCAACTGAACTAGCAGCTGAAATAGCACAAAAATAGCTCATTTCTCCACGCCAGGACTGCAGCCACACATAATAATTAAGTATCGCTATATTTAATTTACAATTATGCTTTAGGACAATTAAAAGACGCATTCAACTTGATGCCAAATGTTTATAGAGAGGAGGACCATGAAAACACAGCCAGATAAATTAGGACACTCTCTGACCTTGTTGTGTGTAGGGGTCACTGGGGGGCAGAGGGATGAGAATGTGTGAGTTGTCGTTGTCATTTTCAGTGATGATTTGCCTTGGACTCCACATGGAGACACTGGATAAACTCCCCACAATCATCCTGTGCAGAGCAAAATGTAATAGTCACACTTTATTGTGTCAGATTAACATAATGCCTACTTACATGGTTAGGGTTTGGTTACTTTTAATATTTACTCATAATTACTGTTACTACCTTGCTAAATGCATAACAGTTAAAACACGAATAAACATGTTAAAAAATTACCTATTCTTCTCACCACAGCACCATTTATTTGATTAAAAATACAGTAAAACAGTATTATTGTAAAATATTTATTAGCATTTATCATTGATAATATTTTAAATGTAATTTATTCCTGTGAAGAACAAGCTGAATTCTCAGCAGTAATTAGCCCAGGCTCACAAACTGTTTCAGAAACCATACAACAAAAAAAGCAATTTAATTACGATCAAATTTATGCTTTTGTAATATTTGTAACACATTTTTTAACCCCTTTGAAAATAGAAAATTTAAAACCGTGTTTATCTGAAATGGATAAGATGTTAAAATCCCTCACTAATATTAATGTTTGAAACAGTAGAAGACCATTTGCACTAATCCAGGGGTAAGTAAGTAAGTAATTATCAAACACTTGCGAACAAGCTAATCAAGTGTGAGCTAGTTGAGTGTTACTATAAAGCGACAGGTAGTTCAGTTTTAATCAAGGCTAGATCAAAACTCTGCAGGACCACAGCTCCCTAGAACCCTGAACTAGATCAATACTATTTGCACATTAGGCATTAATATATACTACAAACAAAAGCAATTAGATCTTGTTTACATTAAGTGAAAATAGCAGCATTTTCTCAGCAATATGATACTTGCACTAAAAGCAAATACTGATGGATTCTATTTAAACTGTATTTATGCAAAAACAGCACCATGTTCAGTAATTTGCAATATGTGCCGTCAGATGATATATTTCGTCACCTTAGAATTATAAGGTTATTGACATATTTTTATTAAATGACAACTTATTTACATTATGGAATGTTTTTTTTGTCTTTGTTTTTTTTGTAAATTTTGTTTACATTTTAACACTTTTATTTACAAAAACAAATGTTACACACATACTGTTTGCTATATGGAAAGCAAAAACTTTTAAGTAAATTTGTCAAAATCATTTAGAATACAGATAGAACCTTATAGTTCCTAGGTGACGATTTTTAAATTTAAATTAATAGTTGACAAAAACAAATTATTCTGTTATCATTTACTTATGTAGTTACTGAAGTTTGCCCTGAGCGCTTGTGTTTTTTTTAGTTACTTCTTTGGTTTGGTGCGTCAATCTTATCGATGCTATTATTCAAAAAAAAGGTAATGATTCACTCTCAATTGCTTCGTACTTTTTTTTTTTTTTTCTTACATGGTGAATAAAAGACACAAAGCCTTCCTCAGTGTGTGACACATTACCACATGCGAATCATTACCTTTTTTGAATAATAGTTATCATTTACTTACCTTTTAGTTGTTTCAGAAATGTTTCTTTCTTTTTTTAAACACATTTGAAAAAAGATCTTGGAAACTTGTAACCAGTGACTTTCATGGTATCGTTTTTTCTACTATGGAAGTCAATGGTCACAGGCTTACAGCTTTCTTCACTATTATACAGTATATATATTTAAATACACTATATTGTGCTCAGTTGAATAAAGAAACTCCTAAAGGTTTGGAACCACTTGAGTGTGAGTAAATTTTTATTTGTGTGTAAACTGTCCCTTTAAGTACTCAAGGCTACATTTTAAGACTGTATAAGATTACTGCATACTGAGTTTAAATGAGAATATTTATGGAGAATGAAAATATTTATATATATATACACACACAACCGGTCAAAAGTTTGGGGTCAGTAGGATTTTTAAATTTATGAAGAAAGCTTCCCCTGCTCACCAAGGCTGCATTTATTTCATCAAAAATACAGTACAAATTGTAAAATTGATATTGCACTATAAAATAACTGTTCAAAAGTGGTTTATCGTTTAATTTAATCAATTATTCTAGTCATTTTAAAGATGAATTTTCAGCTTCATAACTCCAGTCTTCAGAGTCACATGATCCTTCAGAAATCACTCTAATATTTATTATTATTATTATTATTATTATTATTATTATTATTATTATTATTATTATTGTGTTGTTGTTAATGGTAATAGTAATAAAAGCAATAATGAAAACAGTAATAATTTAATTTGAAACTACATGCAATAAGAAAGCAGTCATTTAAAATTGTTATAAATATTTACTAATTTAAAAATTTATTTACATTTAATAAATGTCGCCTTGATGATTATAATAATATTATTTATAAAAAAACATGAAAAAAAAAACTTTGACCAGTAATGTATATTAATGATTTATAATATTGATAAAAATTAATATAAAGCCCTCACTACACCAACTTTAACTGCGTGATGAAAAATAACCATGGTTTTATTATTGTATTAACCATGTTTGGGATTCTTAGGAAGATTTTTAGTGGATGAATTACAATTTGGCTTCCACAGTATTGACCAAAACTACTAGGGAAGTCAGGGGCAACACAGAGGTTAGCACTGTCACCTCACTGCAAGAAGGTTGCTGGTTTGAGGGCCAGGGAGAACCGGTTGGCATTCATTTGTGGAGTTTGCATGTTCTCCCCATGTTTCCCCAGTGTTCCCGTTTCCCCCACAGTCCAAAGACATTTGCTTTAGGTGAATTTGGTAAATTAAATTGGCCATAGTGTATGAGTGTGCGTGTGTGTATGAATGTGTGAGTGTAAGGGTGTTTCCCAGTATTGGGTTGCGGCTGGAAAGGCATTCGCTGTGTAAAACATATGCTGGAATAGTTGGCAGTTCATTCCACTGTGGCGACCTCTGATAAATCAGAGTCTAAGCTAAAGGACAATGAACGAATGAACAAATGAATGAATGAAAGAATGATTATGAAAGTCAATGGCTGCTGCCTTCAAAAATTCTTCTAAATATCTTCTAAATATCTCGCTGACACAAAGGAGAGCAAATAATCATGTAAAATGTAAATTTGTACCCAAAAAGTAGTAAATGTAAATTTTTGAGTGAACTATCCCTTTTAAGCCAGAAAATAACTCACGTCTCCCCATTCCCATGATCCTCTTCTGGGAGCTCTGGCCTGTTCTTTCTATATATATCGTCCTCATCCTCCTCTTCATTGTCAATGCTCTTGGTATCAGGCAAAAGCCCATTCTGCGGGGGTGTTTCAGCCCAGCTCACAATCCCAGGCTCAGTCAGGCCGTTATGAACAGGAGAGGTGGAGTGCGGAGGGTCCAGAGCCTCCTCAGAGCTCACATGACCCACAGCACTCTTCCTAAGACTCCTCACAACGTCCTCACCAGCCTCGTCCTCGTCTTCCGCACCCGCATCCAGGTCATCGTCAAAGGAGATAATGTTCGTGATCTTCTTTTTACGTCTGCGCTCTTTTCTTAAGCCGGAATCTAAAGTGAAATTAAAGGAATTATATGAATAAAACAATGCCAGCTGCATTCTGGACACTGATAGTGAACAAATTTGTACAAAAAAAATGTTTATGGGGGAAAGAATTAAGAAAATGCATCAACAGGAAACTCCCTAATTGCAGTTCTAGCCATTACTGATTTTGAGATGGCTAAAAACAACACAAAAAATATAGCTCCATTTCTCAGTCTACTAGCACGAAGGTTATAATAATAATAGTTTAATAATATTATTAAACTGGAAACAAAAAGCTGCTCCTACATATACACATCTAATGAAGGATGTAATGAAACATTTGAAACTGGAGAAAATCAGATTCTTCATAAAAAAAAGTAGTATCACACTATAAAATTTGCCAACCATTTATAGATTATTTTAAAGAGATAAAATCTACAGAAAATAGTTATATTGAAGAGGATTAGAATAATTTATATTAAAACTTAAGGTCAGATCTTATTTATTCCTTTTTTTCTCATATATATTTGTTTGTTGGACCAATTTTTTTAAGCCAATGAGTTTGAATATTTAAAAATAAAAAAAAAAGTTTCTTTTTTTTATCAATAGCCTCATTTTAAGTTTTAGTTTTGGCATTTTTGTCTTTACTATAATATAACAGTTTAGATTTTTACAGAAAGTGGAGTTGGGGAGAGAGGGGGGATGGGATTGGGAAATTCCAAGAGTCAGAATGCCCACAGCGCTATATGTTGTCACACTGACCTCTATTCTGTCTTTTACTTAACCTTATTTTCCCTGATCAATGTTTATAGGCTATAACTAAGTACACCTCGTTTTGAAAATGATTATTTTTATCCATTTCTCAATGAATATAGGCAATGTATTTTGGTGCATTTAAACAAAACAGATTTATTAAACAGATATATTTATTAAATCAATATTTTAGTCACCAAACATATTTAGAAATTGAAAGATAATACAATTAAATTCTAATTTTTAACTAAATTTTATTTATTTTATTTTTTATTTTTTTGCTTCTCTTGATTTTTTATCCTTTTTTTTAATGTATTTATTATTTTTTTATAACATAAAAATTTGGGTGTATTAGTTTTTGGACTTTTTTTGTTAGATAAGCTCCAGTTTTGGCTTCAGTACTGACTAATCTAATGTATAAGCACAAATATAATATTGTTTAGCTTTCTATGAAAAATATGAATTTAAAAGTTAGATGTGTGAGGGATGTACTTAAATATGCTGAGTTCTGATTAATTAAAATGAACTGCTGTGATATAATTTTAAACAAAACCAGGCCGAAATAAACTTGATTAGTTCGATCAAATCTTTTCGCCGAGTTCACTCCGACTGGTAAAGACCATCAAATCATAATTTCATGAGTATTACATAACAGGCAGTGTTCTGTGGCTTTTTTTTTTCATTGACACAGCAGTCTGCCGTTTATTTCCTATGTTCGTTCTATCGAGGTCAAACACAAGTAAATGTAACACCCTGGAGAGCTGCTTTAGAGTAGCAACTGAAGCTGTAATTCCAATTTGAAGCAATGCCAACACCGTTTCATTTAATACTGTAAAGCTGCTTATGTTGAAGCAATCTATTGTGTAAATAGGGAACACCTGACAACATGCTGCTGAATTATTGTAAAATAATGTACACCCAAGGTGGTGATGCCGAGTCAATTATTCCACTTATACTACAGTTACCACTCAATAAGACATTGTTCAGATGTTTTATTTAAAAACAGCTGCCAGGTTTCATCCATAAAACACTTTTGTGTGCTGGAATTGCTTACACATCTCATCCCAAGACTAGTGATGGTGGCAGGAGCCGTTAATTGGCAGACTATTGCAGGTATTGGAAAACGAGTGAGAGCAAGCGAGAAAGAGATTAAGCATGTACTCTGTGTATGCTATGCAATAGCGAAACAGAAACTCCTTACACTCCTCCTTACACTATTACCTCACTACTAGTGTAGTTTTAAACTACAAAATTTCTTTATTGATAAAGAGCTGGTCATACATTTCTGTGTGCATTTGCTCCATTGTATATCTGTACTAATGTACTGCATGCATATTTGTCAGCGATTGTGATTTCATGCTTGCTTTCCATATATATACTTTGCTCTAGTAGACAATAAAGACCTGTAAAATAAACTAAACCATTTGGCAAGGTGATTTGAATCTATAATGTGTTCAAAATCTGTTGGAACAACTTTAGTTCTGTACTTCAATCAGAATCAAGCATTCAATAGCCCAGCAATTTAAACACTATATAAAATCAAGTGACGTGACTCAATTGCAGAGCAGATGCAACTATAGATCAGTTACAATCACAGGCTTTATAATAGACCAAAGTGTAACGAATATGGCCGACCAGACACATAAATATATTGCATTTTATTCCACAAACTTTGTTATTCCAGCCAACTTTGCCCAGAGAAGACTCAAAACCTGATTCCAAGGTATTTAAGACCCAAAGGAATGTGCCATGCGGCATTAAACACAGGAACGACCTACAAAGGACTCTTTAAACTGCTTGTTTAACACTGATGTTTTCATATAAACTTTACTCTCTTTGTTTAATCATATGTTTTGCAAAGTTTCCCTTTCTCTTGTATTAATATTTTTGGTTTTAATACCCCTGTATATAATGTTTAACTGTACCCAAGCTAAACATCCTCTTATACTGTTCAAGTTTGGACTTTTTGAAAAGCTTACTCGCTGTACAAATCGATCGTTGACATTTTATTTTAATATGAGTGCAACATAATAACGTTTTAAGAGACTTTAACATTTCTGTCCCGATTTACATAAAATTTGCCTATGCAAATTCTTCTGCCTCAGACAAAGAGCTGTAAATTACTATTCAAGGAAGTTAGCTTCTAATTGGTCAACTTTCCATGGAGGGTGGATCCGAACCCGCCCTATAAAAGCTTAGGACCTAGCTAAACTCCCTCTCTTCTCTTCGAAACTACCCTCGGGGCTCTGTTCAAACTCTCTTGGGACCTCCCTTGGCACTAGGGTTGTAACAGTATGAATTTTTTACGGTATGATAATCGTCTAAAACAATACCACGGTTTGACGGTTTCGCGGTATACGGTATGTTACAAATGTTACAAAATAATAGAACAGTGAAGCAAATTTGACTTTTTCCAAATAATATATTTTCAGTTACTATAAACAACACCACTTACAATGAACAAATAAAAAAATAACAAAAATAATAAATAATATGTCAAAGTCCAAATAAAGTCCAAATAAACATGGTGCAAATCCTCAGTAAAAAAAATAGATATAAATATTTACTATACTATAAATAGTTACATAACGAAACTTGATTCAATATGGAACATCCTTAGGTTTTATGTGCCAGCATGGATATGGTTGTCTGCAATGCAGACAAACAGCTGCACCTTCATTTGCGTCTTTTGAAAACATCAAGAGCAGCAGTTCGTCTTTGCTGTGTCACTGTTTTGTCATGTTTCTGTGCTGCTGTGCATGCAAAAGTACTTAGTATGAGAATTATTTCATGCAAATCTTTTTTTTTTTGCGTTTTATTTAGCCGCGCATGAATGTATGCCTATCTCTTATTCCGTGTTGTTCAAAAAGCTCATTGTTGCTCCACAAACAAAAGCAAAACCTATGCTTATTGGTTGTGATATAGCGAGTTTGAACCAATCTGGGCATGGAGGAGGGACAATGCATCAATGTATCATGTCTGGTTTGTCCGGAGACACAGTGACGAGCGTTTCTTTGTCAAATCAGCGTTGTCAAATTTTGATGACGTAAACGCACTGATTCCGAAGCCTCTGAAAGTCCGCGAATGTTATGTGATACAGCACTGGAAAGCTGAGATTATGCCAATCTTTGAATTGTATGAATCGGATCAGCGGATCAAAAGTTATTAAACATTTAAGAGCAATACTTATTTTTAGCCGCGGGCAGCTGTCTCGGTCTTTAAGGGTTAAAACCATTGATATGCAATTGTTCATGGTATGATAATCGTGCACGTTCAAATCGTGGTAGACCGTCATACCGGTATATTGTTACAACCCTACTTGGCACCCCTCTCTGCTCTGAAACACGCTGCCTGGGAGCTCCTCCTCTCTCTCCCAACTCCAGGCAACCCCCCTCTCTGCTCTGAGCCACGCTGTTTTGAACTTTCATCAACTCTCTACAACTTCCTCAGAGACTGAGAAACCTCCAAGAAAGCAGGCAGAAACCCAGACAGAAAGGGTTAATCGCACCGCGCTCCGATATTTCACCGCCCAGAATCCTCTTTGTCGCTTCAACTTGAAACTACAACCTCGTGAGGAACAAAGAGCAACATCAACCACGTGCTCAATAACGGGAGCTCGGATATCACGAACAGACCGCAAGTACATTCAACCCTAAAGAGACAATAGAAGGGTTATATTAAATTTGATTACGTTTGGTTTGCTTGGTTTGTTCTTACAAACTCCGAGGCTTTCCCATCATTACACCTTCTCAACCTCTTACCTCACACGTTACTCTTCCCTATGCTTGTATGAATGTGTGTTTGTGTTAGGTTTTAGTTTCTGTTAGATTAGTCAATAAAGTTTAATTTTGTATAAAGAAAGGTGCCTGTGTATATTAATGAATCTAATGTCCTAAACTTTGATCTTGCAACCCTGCTCAACTTTGTTGATAGCATCGCTGAACGATTTGGTTGTTCGGATCAAAAGAGTTGATACAATTGAAGCCCCGTTCAAATAAATATTCCTCCCGCTAAACTATTCCGCTATATAATGTTCCAGAAGGTACACAAGCCTTGAAATCTGAATCATAACTCGCAACATTATAACGGCGGGAAAGGCGCGGGAAGAATAACCTTGAGCTAATTTACTACAGTAATAATGGTGTAGAAATGCGAGCACTCTAATCTACATTATAATTCGTCACAGATTATTAATGTGGATATGCTTGCAAGCTAATCTACATTATTATTATGATGTGCTACCTGTTTATTTGTGGAGAATAAACAAAGCATTAAATATGTAATTTTACAAAAGAATACACAACGCGTCACTCGTATAGTTTTAAATGTGGTCAATATGGACACTCGCTTTCTAGTCAACAAGCCAATCATCGATCGCTACAGATTGATGATTCTCTGGGGGAGGGGCTTGGTCCAGGTGCGTGTTTTACAATAGTTTCTACAGCTTCATTGTTATGAACACTCTGTGGTTTAAAAATGTGCTGGAATCTTAGCGAATATTTGTCTCACAGTCATAAGAAATATATCTGGATAAAGCTTAATATTTCTTTTTTTAAACAAAATAATTACACGTGAAAACAAATGTTATCTGGTTTTGACATGTTTATGAAACAAATTTGATTTTTATTTTCAAATCTGACTTTTTTATTTTACATCTATTCCCACTTTCTGTCATTCAAATGCAAATCAGTTGACTAAAACTATGAGCCCCAACAGGTCTCTATTGTTTTAGCTGGAGATTTGCTTTCAGAAGACCAGCTCGATCAAATTATTCAGAGGATGATGTATAACATCTAAGTTATTGACTCTTACAGCAATTACATAGACTGTTTAACAAAATGACATCTAGTCATGTCCTCTAGAAGCAGCTATAAAGGAGGTTGGTTTTATTAGCATTAGCTAATTGGCAACCTGAAAAACACAGCTTTTTGTCATAATATGAACAATCAAAAACAAAATTCATGAAGTTTCCAATTTCATTGGTGATTCCAAATATGAAATTTCCTCATAAGCTTGCAAAATTTAATGTCAGCTTATTCTAATGCTGAGTTCAGAGTGCATGATTTTCAAAATAGTCGTGTCACAGATTTTTTCACACTGCATGACTATCTGGGCTAGCGTTTTGTTGCTGCTTTGTTTACACTGCAAGATGGATTGGCGTCAGGAGGTTTCACACTGCATGACTTTAAAATATGAAGAATTGCCGGCAATTCTGTCCAAACTATGTCTCACAACCAAAAAAACGTATATCTTGTGTTATTAACTACGTAATTTGAAAGTAGCCTTTAATGGGGTAGAAAATGTACTTATTTGTTCACCTGGGATTGAAGGGAATTAGCTATTTCTCCTTTATTTATTTTATTTTTTTGACCCGGTTGTAATATTGCTCACATAACACCACAAACAGACACGTGTGCTCCTGCCGAATTTCCACAAGTTTTTCCTCAATTTCTTGTGTCTAAATAGAATGAACACTTTTAACTTCTCCCCCAGCCTCCGGCTGGCCTTCAGGTACCCATACTAGTGAATGCTGCTCTCTCATTAGCTGTAGGCAATCACTGATGTTATTTTCAGTCAAAACACATTTCACATGGCATGATTTGAATCGCCGACATGTCCAGATATTTAGCATGCCAAATATCTGATGGGAGACTGCGACTCAAAGCAATTCAAAGATTGCATCTTTGATAGTTCACATTGTGTGATTGTTAATCGCGTGAATGGGTACCGATTAGCCTGTGATTTCAGTCATTTGTCGCTGATCTTTCAAAACCTGTCAGTGAGTCAAAATCAGGGCTAAAATCATGCAGTCTGAATTCGGCATAAGAGAGAGGAACTTCACTAGCATGCTGGAAATGCCTTTCAAAGGTGGCAACATAGAGAAAGGACTTGCCTCAAAGAGACTTAAACATATCGGTATTGGCCAATGAATGGCTACTTTTAATGATAATGTTATTGACCCAATAAGAAAATAAATTAACAGAAGTTAATTAATTAGTTATTATTTCGGCTAGTTGATCAATTTCAGATGTGCGCTGCTGGTTTTTCACAATGACAAACAAGGACTTCAGAATTGCAGTTTGCAAATGCTTTCGATAAAGGAAAGATCCTGATACCAGTTGTCTACTGATTTTTTTGTAATCAGTGTCAAGAAATGTATTTATCAATCAACTTATCAATAAACCGCATCAAAATATAAATAGTCATTGGTATGAATATCAAAATGTCCATATCTGTGGAGAGACTGATTTTTAACCTAAGATTTGATTTTAAAAAGTGTAACAAGTACTGGCAAAAATGGTCTGAATTTGTCATTGTAAAGAATTTGTTATAATGTATGTCAAATGTATTATGACTTGATTTTGTAACCCTTATTGCAACCGCTTTGTTCTTTGTATTTATTTCTATTTTTCCCCCTTTGTCAATTTTTTTCTCTTTCCTCCAAATAAAAAAAAAGTTAAAAAAAAAAAAAGTCCATATCTGTGCATGGCTGACTCGTGACAGCTGTTATTTGAATGCAGTCATGTATGTTGTTATAGAAAAAATGCAGCACATTTTGATGTCATCTAAATCCTGTAATGGGCCTAGCACTGAGATGTCAGTCAATAATGCATTTCTAAAACTGATTAACCCATAAAAAAAAACGAATTCTATTCCTATGGTATAAAAATGCAGCCTTAAGGAGTAGATTTAGTTCAGAGTAATTCATTTAAGCATACCGTACTAGTAACAAGCTGCTGCACCCCATTTGACTGTGAGTGTATGTGCAGATCTGTTATGGTGCGTGACTCAAATACCTGCAGAAGTGCTGCGGGGCAGGACAGGCAGGGGGTCTGAAGGAGCATCTGAGCGAGGGATGAAACCAGGAACCACAGCAGTGGCAGTACCGATTTCCCGCAGTAACGTGCTGACACCTTGAGTAGACTCTTTCCACAGACTGCTCATCCCCTGTGTGGACTCCTTTAACAGGTGGGACACAGATGATCCTCCGCGGACCTGGCCATTTAGGTCTGTGTTGTCGATGTTAATTGCAAACAGGATGGAATTGAGCCCTGTTGACACATGCATAATATTTGCGCTTCAGCAAGAAAGAATATGACTAATATGACTTAATATTGGAAACAATCTCATTTAAATGTCACCTGCAGCCATTGTGGGCAACATACTGGCTCTCTCCTCGTCCAGGACAAATGCCCAGTCTTCATAGAAGGCACTAGTGTGAAGCAAAAAGGAGTCATTTTACATCTACGAAAAAGAATCTTGAAAAAATCTAGCATCTCTTGATTTAATGGATTTAATATATTTGGTTTTGAGATAGATGTTATTATTTGTTGAATCTACAGGAAAAAAAATCTTGATTTGCTACAATTACAGGCGACGCAGTGGCACAGTGGGTAGCACGTTCGCCTCACAGCAAGAAGGTCCCTGGGTTGCTGGTTCGAGCCTCGGCTCCGTTGGCGTTTCTGTGTGGAGTTTGCATGTTCTCCCTGCGTTCGCGTGGGTTTCCTCCGGGTGCTCCGGTTTCCCCCACAGTCCAAAGACATACGGTACAGGTGAATTGGGAAGGCTAAATTGTCCGTAGTGTATGAGTGTGTGTGAATGTTTCCCAGAGATGGGTTGCGGCTGGAAGGGCATCCGCTGCATAAAAACTTGCTGGATAAGTTGGCGGTTCATTCCGCTGTGGCGATCCCAGATTAATAAAGGGACTAAGCCGACAAGAAAATGAATGAATGAATGAATGCTAGAATTACTAGGTTTGGTCTTAAGACAAATGTCAATAAATGTTGCATCTATGGCTTGAACCATAGATTCATGGTGACTGCATCTATTGGTATTTTGAGAAATGTTAATATTTGTTGCATCTATGTAAAATAAAATCTAGTTTCTCTTGATTTATTGGATTTATTAGGTTTGGTTTTGATATAAATGTTAATATCTGTTGCATCTATTGAAAAGAACTTAAAACAATCTAGTTTCTCTGGTTTTATTAGGTTTGGTTTTGAGAAATAAGTCTAGTAAAAATAAGTGGAAATAAGTTTTGTAAAAAATGTAGTTTCACTCGATTTACTGGAGCTATTAGGTTTAGTTTTGTGACAATTGTTAATATTTATTGCATCTATGGAATAAATCTTGAAAAAATGTAGTTTTTCTTAATTTACTGGATCGTTTAGGTTTGGTTTTGAGATAAATGTTAATATTTGTTTTAGGCTATTTTAATTCATGTTAATCTCTCTCTCTCATATATACATATATATATAAATACATGCATACATACATCCATACTGTACATAGTTTTTTTTAATCCCAAATAATGTAATAAAGCAAGGAAATTTTCACAGTATGTCTGATTTTTTTTTTCTTCTGGAGAAAGTCTTATTTGTTTTATTTTGACTAGAATAAACAGTTTTTATTACTTTTAAAAACCATTTCAAGGTCAAAATTATTAGTCCCTTTAAGCTATATTTGTTACCATAGTCTACAAAACAAACCATCTTTATACAATAACTAATGCCTAATTACCCTAACCTGCCTAGTTAATCTAATTAACTTAGTTAAGCCTTTAAATTTAACTTTAAGAAGGCGTCTTTATAGAAGGGTCTTGAAAAAGATCTAGTCAAATATTATTTACTGTCATCATGACAAAGATAAAATAAATCAAAATAAATAAAAGTTGTTAGAAATGAGTTATTAAAACTATTATGTTTAAAAATGTGTTGAAAAAAATCTGCTTTTCGTTAAACAGAAATTGGGGAAAATAAACAGGGGGGCTAATAAATCTGACTTCAACTGTATATATTAAATAAAGCTGAAAACCTGACTTTCATAGTAAAAAAAACTATGGAAAGTCAAAGGTTACAGGTTTACAGCATTCTTCAAAATGCTTTCTTTTGTGCTTAATAGAAGTCAAATAGGTTTGTAACAAGTAAAGGCTAAGTAAATGATGACAGAATTTTTAGCTTTAGGTGAACTATCGCTTTAAAGTCTGAATGAAACAGTTCATGCTCATGTTCATGTACCAGTTGAAACAGAATACTGAGTAGACGACTTTCTCTTTTGCACATTGCTTCGTAGCAAACTAGAGGTAAGAGGATGTGGTTAAAAATATTGTGGCTGAGGCTGTTAAACTTAAGTTCAGACTGACAGATGGACCAACACGCCAAACCTGAAGGCAAATGCTCTCCTTTGATAATCTTTGATTGAACATTACCAAAACACACACCAATTAATTATTTACCTAAAGACTAACAATGTACGCTAACAAAATGAACATTGCAAATTTGGACTTTAAATCCAGAAACACTGAAAATTGAAGTGGTCTTTTTCCAAATTTTTCATAGCTGTGGTGCCTAGAGAACTTCAAAAAGAAAGAGATCCACAAACATAAATCATGGGTGTGACAGTGTATGCATACCTAAGGCGGGCTCGATCTGCCAGCAGCATGTGAAGATAACGCTCCAGCGAGTGTTCGTTCAGTGCACAGCGAAGCCATGCTCGACCGCGGCCCTGCTCAGATGTGATATTCCGCAGAGAGTAGAAGCGCTGCAGCTCATGACGGTTCAGGTGATCTTTCACATAAAACCAGAACGTCAGCTCTGCAACACACAAGAGACATCTGCTTAAACACTGTTTTCAGTTCCCAATAATAGACTATATACACAGTACTGTGAAAACATCTTACGCCCCGAGTTCCATTTGTTGTTTTAGTGAGGGTATAATGACATCAGTCTTTATTAAATTACAACCAGAATATAGAGGTTCTAGTTGTATTTTTAGGCCTAATTGTTTAAGACAGTTAAGAGTTAGAAAAAGATGGAAGAATGAAGGGAAAAACTGTTTCTGTCATGGATTGAGCGGCATTTCTGCCAGAGCAGTTGTCAATATTGCCTGAATTGATGGGATTGTAAACACTGAAAAGTACAGACAGGTTTTAATTTGTCATGTAATTCATACTAGAAAGCACCCAAGTTGTCATAGTTTTATTTTTCAGCATGATAATGGTCCCAAACTCACTGCTGAAGTAATGAAATTATATTTGGAGAGAAAAACAGCTGATGAAACAGTCATGAAATGGCCTCCACAGAGTCCAGATCTGAATATTGTATAAAGTATGTATAGGCAATAATATAGGCAATATGAGATTGACCTGAAGTGAAAGGAAAGACAGAACATTGCTAAATCAAATGATGAACTATTAAAAATGTTAAAAGATGCTTAATATTAAATAGCTCATCATATCAGAAAAGACTTCAAAGAGTTAAAGCTGTTGCTTGTTGCTAAAGAGGTCACGTTAAACACAGACTTTTTATGCGAGTGTTTTGATTTCAAAAGTAATTTACTTCTGAACATTGTATACACATTTACCCTGTTCTGTTCTGTTTGTATATTAAAGATATAGATCACCCAAAAGTAATGACCCTGCACTTGCTCCATATCTTTTAGATACCAGAGCTGGTGGTGGCCTAAGATGTTTGCACAGAACTGTAGATATAGACACATTATAGTGAAAGTTATATGAGGAGGTAACTCTGTGAACCAGAATATATGAGGTAGAGAAAAGGTCAGCAAAGAATGTAAAGTAAACAAATCAACTCAATTCGAAAGTTTAGATTTTTTTTTTTTTTTTCTCAGATGAGATCAAAACGAGGACGCATTTCACTTATCTGACGTAGAGCTTGTTGGGCTGTCTGTATATAACAGTTTTTTTTAATGGGGTCACTCAGTCAGGGCTCAGGTGGTCTTCTTGTCTGGGCTCTGTGACATTTAATTTGTGCAGCATACAGATTGGTGCAGTCTAGTGGTTAAAGATCTAGACTGGAAAGCAAAAGGTTGCGGGTTGAGATGTGAGCATGAGATGTTATTAATAGCTAAATATTATTTAATTATACACTTATTCAAAAGTTGATATTTTGAAGCTGTTTCCATGTTTTTTGAAAAAGTCTCTTATGATCACTAGGGACTATATTTACTTGCTAATTGCCTTTTGCTTTTTAAAATCTACCATCAGGATTCACTAAAGAGATGCAGTGAAACATTTGTGCAGAAAAGGCATGAGCACAGATTTTTTCTTTGCTGCAGATCTTCATGCAAATGTAGTATCTTAAAATTATTAAGCAAATTAATTGTAACCATAGGAGATAAGTCAAATTAACAATTCCAAGTAACAAAAGGTTTACTCCATTTTTAAGTAAAAGTCAACTTGTTGCTTTTAAGCCAATGTTTAAGTTTTTTAAACTAATCGCTCTTTACAACGTATGATGGCAAATAAGGCTACACGATATTGAAAAACCTGACATTTTGTTTTGCTGCGATATATATTGTAATATAAATATAATTTCACAAGATTATTTGAACAGCTCTATTAGGGAAGATTTCATTCATTTAGATCATCAAGTCTTTTTATGCCGTACATCTGCATGAATTATAATAAATTACAAAATACGACAGAGCAAAAATAAAAGTGAATAACAATAAACAGCGTTTTTTGTGGTTTTTTGAGGAGCGTAACACTGTTCAGTAGTACAGAAATTGAACAATCAAACGTAACATAAACACATTAAATAATGTCTTATTCTTTAATCTTTAATAAATAATCCAATTCTGTGACTGTTGCAGATACACAACAGTCTGTGATGCTCAATCTATATATTGTTCAGCCATAATGCTAAAGCTGACATTTTAGCATCCATTAATACAGTCTTCAAAGTATAATGATCCTTCAGAAATCTCTAGTTTATTTTTTTATATTCATTACAATAATGTATTTATTTAGTCATTTCATTTATTCAAAGTTTTGGTTTACTGTTTTTATTTATTTTAATAATGTTTCGATTTATGTTTCTTATTTAATCATGCTGTGCATTAACAGGTATATAATTATTATATATTTTTTTAAATTATATGAATCAATCAATTTTATATTTTTTTTTTCTGGTAACTAATTTTATTTTGCAATCTGATGGAAATGTAATATTGATGGTCATATATTGATGACTGACAATTATATACTGATTACTGATTAAGGTTTTGATAAAATAAATCTCAAATGCATTATAATCATTGGGCTATTACAGCCATGTGTGATCTACTGGTTGTTTAAGAGTTAAGGAGCTCTACAGAAAGTCCTATCTAAAACATTGTAACATTGTTTTTAAAAATGCCTGTGAGCCCATCATTGGTATCCTTTAGCTCCTTTAGCAGAGGCTCTCTGTGTGTAAACTGATTATTCACCAGGGAATTAAAGCAATTAAAAGATAAACTTTGTCGGACTTTATTCAATGTCTTTACATTAAAATATATTCCTTGTGAACAGTTAGAAAATTATTTTTATTATTTTAATAATTTATTATATGCATAATAAATAATATAGTATGTAATAAATATAGTTTAATTTAGTTTTTAATAAATTAATATTTGGACATTTTTGTTGCGTCCAGTACTTCTTTGGTGTCCCATGGGGTCTCTAGACACCAGTTTAAAAGGCCCAGCTTAGAGGTTTAAAATATTTTAACAGTTTAATAAGCGCTGTTCAGTTTATCAAATATATTTGTTGTCTTTTAAAAGACATTGCACTACTTCATGTTTTCATCATTGATAAGATCTGTCATCCTCATAATCCTGAAAGAGGACTGTGACTTGCTGATTAATAACGTGAAACAACCTCCTTATGTAGATTTAGCATTTATCTAAACCTGGCAAACTGTTAAACAATCTGTCTGACATTGATAAAACATCTACACCAGTTCATGAACACCGAAATTATTGCACATAGTCAAACAACAATAGAGAAAAAAAAAAAAAACTTCATCACATGTCTTAAGTTTACAAGCTTCAAGTACAGTTCATCATGTATATCATTTACAATGGAAACTCATATAATAATAATAATATAATAATAAATTCCCCACCACTTTCGGGGTGCATTAAACTTTCTACTCAAGAAAAAGGACAAGTTCTCTGCACTGATTGAGAGTATCGCTCTTGGTTCTGCTGTTCATATTAAACAGCTCAAAACCACAGCAGGTGTGATGACTAACCTCAGAAAAGCCTTGTTTCTCTTTTTGGCCACTTTTACAGAGCTTGTTACATAACCATCTGGTTTCATAAACAGTATCAGCACCTGGTTTTCCTGTATGAGCATTCATAAGCATCTGTTTCCTCTATGGACAACCCAGAACACCACATGTGCTCTTTGTTACTAGGGAAATCTCTCAGGCAATGTCTCTCAGGGGCACCAACTGAGACAAACTCATTAAGTAGGGCAAAAAGTTCACAGAGTAAACCACTAGTAAAGCACTTCTTTTCAGATTCGGGAAAAGTTATTTATTTGGATCGAAATGTTTTTTTTTGGATTCATTATTTTATCATTTTTAGTTTTTAGGTTATTTTAAATCAAGTGTTTTTATTCATTTAAATATTTTATACAAATCCATGTTTATTTGTAAATATCTTAATAAAACATGTTTTTCTGATCAAGTCAAGTTGAGCTTTGTTGTCATTCTAACATATGAGAGGACATAAAGTAGAATGTTGCATCTCACAGACCTGCATATTAATTAAAAACAAACATACAGTTGAAGTCAGAATTATTAGCCCCCCTGAATTATTAGTCCCCCTTTTTATTTTATTCCCCAATTTCTGCATAACGGTGAAAAGATATTGTCAACACATTTCAAAACATAATAGTTTTCTCATTTCTAATAACTGATTTATGGTATCTTTGCCATGATGACAGTACATAATATTTGACTACATATTTTTCACGACACTTCTATAAGCTTAAAGTGACATTTAAAAGCTTAACTAGGTTAAGTAAGTAAACTAGGCAGGTTAGGGTAATTAGGCAAGTTATTTTATAAGGATGGTTTGCTCAGTAGACTATCGAAATAAAATATTGTTCAAAGGGGCTAATCATTTTGACCTTAAAATGTCTTTTAAAAAAAATTAAACGGCTTTTATTCTAGCCGAAATAAAACAAAGAAGACTTTTTCCATAGGAAAAAATATTATTAGATATACTGTGAAAATGTCCTAGCTCTGTTAAACATCATTTGAGAGATATTTTAAAAAGAAAAGAAAATTTCAAACGGTGTTTAATAATTCTGATTTCAACTGTATAACAATAGACCATAGCAAAGAACATATACACACCCTAAAACCTAATGTATAGAAGAATTAACACAATTTTAAACATAACATGTTTTGATAAATGCTTCTAAATTTTTTTATCTTTGCCATAATTAAGGTTTATAAGATTTTTCTAAGATTTTTAGACTCTAGTATTCAGCTTAAAGTAAAATTTTAACTAGGTTAATTAGGTAATCTACACAAGTGGGGTAATTAGGAAAGTTATTAGCATTTTGTTCTGTGACAAATAAAATAAAATTATGTATATCATCAAATATATTATTGACCTCAATTTGTTTTGTTTTTTTTTTGTTTGTTTTTTTTATATTAAGTTTATTCAAGAAAAATGAAAAGAAATAAGACTTTCTACAGTAGAAAGTATCTACTTTAAAAAATATGTTTTTAATTGTAGGAAATAATTGCAAAAACAAAATCCTTGCTCTGAATACAAATTTCACTGGAGGGTTAATAATATTACCTTCAAATGTACAGTAAATGTGAATCATATATATATGTGGATAAAATTGTAGGTACCCCAGTTTCATTAGTTTGCCTTTTTAATGCTTCTGTTGAACAACAATTTGAAAGCAATATCTGGTTTTCAATAGTTTATATTAAGTAATGTTTAATTAACTACTATATTTTTCAGTGACCAGTGTAGTTTTTCTTCAATGGAATGGTACTAACTATAGTTCCTGTATATTCATATTATTTATTTATTTATTTATTTATTTATTTATTTATTCAATCATATATTTTTATCACATTCTTCCTCTTGTCGTATTTGCAGTCCCCCAAGATTGGGTACACAACCCAAGATATTCAGGCTGATTTTGAACCGATTTTTTTCCCCAACAATACTAGGTAAGGTCCCAATTATCTTGGTGCCTCTAAAGATTATCTTTCCAGATTTTATTGTGGTGTGTGAGGTGACTACATCTGCCCGGAAGAACATTGGAGACACTCTGATCGTGAATTGTAAATACATGTTGAATATTTATGATCAGAAGTCCTGATGTATTGGGGAACCCCGTGGCTAACCATTTGATATAATCATAAAGCAAGCTGACAGAAGATGGAAGCATAACAAACAGAACAATGTACAGAACAAAGTAAAACAGAATTAGACAGCTGACATTGTGAGTGGCCAAATTTAGCAGATTTTAATGTATATGAAAACATTGTTTATTCTTTTACCATGTTTATTCTCAAGTCTCAATATGTAGTCTCAAAACTGTCTGATAAACTGGTCTAACACAAAGTCTATAGCAGGGGTCATCAATCTCGGTCCTGGAGGGCCAGTGTTCCTGCAGGGTTTAGCTCCAACTTGCCTCAACACACCTGCCTGGGTATTTCAAATACACCTAGTAAGACCTTGATTAGCTTGTTCAGGTGTGTTTGATTAGGGTTGGAGCTAAAATCTGAAGGACTCCGGCCCTCCAGGAACAAGTTTGGTCATTCCTGGTCTACAGTTTCAAAACCTCTGAAATTCTTAAAAAAAAAAAAAAAAGGAACTTAAAATTTTTGATTAAGAAAATGGTTTCTTTTTCATAATTGAACTATTTTAAAATGCATAAATTGCTTAACAAGGGTAAACATCAAGTTTAAAAATGGTGTTTAGTCTGTAAGATGATGCATGATTTCTCTTCTCCCTCTGACTTTATAATCAATTTAAATCTGCTGAAAACAGATTAACTAGAGTAACTATTACATTATTCTACTTAGAAAAACTTATTTTGGTCAAAATGCATCAAATTATGGGAGTTTAATACCACAATCTATTAGAGAAAGTGCAACCTTTAATCCGTTTAAGTATCATTTTAAGAAAAGGCTCCTTAATAATTAACATTTTGAACATTAGTAGTTGTTTGTTGTTGTGTTTTTTTGTTTGAATTTCGGATTTTTGTTGTTTTATTGGACTATAACATCTGGCAAAGAGGCTACCAAACTAGATTTAAGGGCTAATTTGTTTTTTGTTTTTTTTTAACTATTTTTTCTCCATGTTTGTGGTCTCTAATAAATTTGATGATAATAATAAAATCCTTTCTTGTGTACCCAGCTTAAAACAAACCATTTAAAAGGCCAAGAATTTCACAGGGTAATTGCTTAGTAAAGCGCTTATTTTAAGCATCCTTTTTCTGAAAAGCACATGGATTAAACTAGCTGGCCAAAACATGACTGACAGAAAATAAAGTCTGGATTTCTGGATGTGCATTATTTGCTGGAGCCAGTTACAGTACCTGCTTCGGTTTTACTGCTAAATCCTGCAACATGTTTAATGGCAGCTGCTGTGAGGGCTAAACCTCGACTCTTCCTCAAGCCGTGCTGAAGTACCGCTTCAAACTGGGCACACAGGCATATGACCCTACGAAAAAAAATAATATAATTTATGCAATAAAGCAGTTAACTACATATAAATACCAGATAAATAAATATCAGATTTTCCAGATTTCTAAAATTAATATGTAATACACTGATGAAATATTCTTCTCACCTGCTATCAGAATCTGAAGCGATCTCCTTCCTGCCACCAAAGCGAATTTGGCACTGAGGAGATAATAATCACATTTAGAGCAAGTTCAACCTTAAGCTAACATGGAAATTATCATATTACATACAATTCAGGGTAATGTTTTAAAATAACGATCCATTAGTTCATGTTTTTAATTACATGAACAAACAATAAACAATACATTTATTACAGAATTTATTTAATCGCTGTTAATGTATATTCATTTTCTTTTCAGCTAAGTCCCTAAGATTAATAATCTGGGGTTGCCACAGCGGAATGAACTGCCAATTAATCCAGCATATGTTTTACGCAGCGGATGCCCTTCCAGCTGCAACCAATCACTGGGAAACATCCATATACACTCATTCACACTCATACACTACGGACAATTTGAGCTTACCCAATTCACCTGTACCACATGTTTTTGGACTTGTGGGGAGAAACTCCACACAAAAACGCCAACTGAACCAGATTTAATATATTCATATTTAAGCATATTAATATGCAAGCACAACAGCTGTTAAATAGAAGATGAACAGTTGCTGTATTCAGAATAAAATGCCAAGGTGACCTGCAAATTCACTTTTTTACTAAATTTACAAAATGACATTTTACAGTTTTTTCTGATCGCTCAAGCACAACTTTGAAATTACAGCTCATTTTGTCAAAACACTACACACAATTTACACATCCACACACACAGAGAGCAGAACTCATTAGTTATTTTGCAAAATGAAACACTTCATTTAAAACTTGACAACATTAATACAAAACACAATTTTGACACCGTACAGAACACACACGCTTCATTCAATATAAATCTGTTTGCTTCATTTACACACTGTGGTAATCAATCTTTAACACTTGTATAATTTTTAACTAATACTAATATAATCTGGGATCAGAGGTATTGCTATTAAGTACATTAACATACTGTTTTCACCAAACAGTGATAGACTGATAGCTAAATATTGCCTTATGCTAGCAAACTATACAACAAATGTAAAGTGTATTTATTAAGCTTTCTGGTGATGCATATATTTCAATATAAAAAAATTCCCATCCCCTGTCTCCTGTTTACCAATGATTCTCCCTTTAGTGCTTCCTCTTCCATACTGCGACATTGCCTTCCATATTTATTGAAGAGTAATATTTATAGCTATACTACTGTAAACATATTTATTGAAGGCTAACATTTATAGCTATATTACTGTAAACATGTAAATTGAAGACTAATAGCTTCTACCTATTGCATTTTTTATTGTGGTTCCAGCTGATTGGTGTGTCTACAATTTTGCAGCATTGTGTGTGCTGATGGCTGTTTAACCTATGGTTCGTGTGTGTGTTCATTTGAAGGCCTTTGTTTTAAAATTGAAAGAAAATTCCATTATAAAAAATTTCTGTGTCAAAAGCATCCAAGTGTGTTTAGTGAATTGCATATCACTGTGTGTAATGTTTAGCAAAAAGTGTGAAGCTGACAATTTGCTTACAGTTGTGCAGATCTAGCCTTGTGTTTTGCTCCTTGAGTTTACGGTTTTGCTAATTGTTGGAAAAAGTTTAATTTTAGGGTATTAGCAGTCATGAAAAACTGCAATATCATTCATATGAAAGTTTTTAGCGTGCCATTATTGCAAAATATTTAATAAGGCCAAGAACATTCACAGTTTTATTATCTACAGATTACACAATATCTGAAAGGTCATTAATTTTTTGACTTGCATACAGTCAATATTTTCTTGCACATTTTTTTAATTAAAGATAACGACAACTACTGAAAAAAAATAAAAGAGTTCAATCAATTCGCCTGTTGGTTTTAATAAGGAAAGATAATGTCTGATATAATAAAATAGATCTCTTCAAAGTACGTTTAATTAAAAATAAGCATTCAATTTAAATACACTTTTCTATTAAAAATGTGCCAATTGGGACCCGACTATGAGGTCTAATATTTACCTTTTTATTTCTAAATAAAAACTGTTTATTCACTTAACTAATCCCCAACCCCCATATTTAAAGACACAATAATAACTTTGATATACATAATAACTTGAGCATTGCTAGAGGTCATTTATTTACAGAGAGACTAAATCAGATCATTTCGACTGACTATTTCTGTTGACATTCAGATCAAATATGAAAGATTGATACAGCAAAGCCGTTCACTTTGTGGTTTGTCGAGAAATAATCACTGTTAAAATTGGCCAATCACAAACGTATATTGGTCAGTCACTATGTCTTTTCTTGATCTAAGCCAGCATGATAAAAGAGGAAGTGGTTTGGGTTAGCACTGGAAACAAATAAACGATCTTATAGTTAATGAAACAAGTCAATGTTACTTTACCTGTTTAACCGCATCAAGAAGTCTCTCTAACAGGTTTTGTCTTTTAAGGTCATTTTGCTGTGCGCCTGTAAGGTAAAGTTACTAGTTGAATTTACCTCACTCAACAGCATTAACACATTAACAATAAACACCAAAAAACACACAGTGCATGGAATAAATAATAATTATTAACATAATGGTAAAAGATTGACTGCTTGACACTTACTTTGCAAGCACTTTTTTCTTCATATACAGTTAAAGGCAAAATGATTAACCCTTAAGTGATATTTTCATTATTCTTTAAATATTTTAATAATATTCAAAATAATAATAAGTTGTTGTTTAATGGAGATCTTTTTCCAACACATTTTTAACATAATCACTTTAACAACTTTTCTCTTTTGTCTTTGCCATGATGACAGTAGTACATAATATTTTATTAGTTGTTTTGCAGTATATTATCATTCGTCTTAAAGTGAAATATAAAGGTTTAACTGGATTAATTCATCAAGTCATTGGATAACACAGGTTTCTTCTGTAACCAAAAATTGCAAAATGCAAATAAAAACTGATTTTATTAAAGCCAAAATAAAAGAAATAAGACTTTTACCAGTTAAAAAAAGAAATAATGTGAAAATGTCTTTACTCTGCTAAACATCATTTGAGAATATTTTTATTTGGATTACTTATTTTGCTTTTAACAGTTTATATAAGAGATGAACCAACGTTTCGGTGAATATTAGGTAACTGTTTAAAAACCATGACAATGACCAAAAACCGTTTTCATGGTATACCGCGGTTTGGAAAAGTCAAGTCAAGTTTTATAACTGCCAAAATTTTCTGTAATATCATTCCTAAGGTATGTGTAATATTTTTTATTTACATTTTAGTTCTAAGTTTGTAAGGACAAAGTATCATTAGTATAAATGATATCCAAAGATGCCCTTTTAAATTGTAAAGAAATCTGTGTTTTTGAAACTAATAAAGACAGAAGTCAATGATTTATTTTGAATTTTTTTACCTGAAATGTTTAGTGCTCCAAAAAAAAAATTTAATCTTTCAAAAAATAAAATATATTGTGTTGAAAGTGGGGAAATTGTTTTGTTCCTTTACCATACATTTAAAAATAATATATTTTAGAGCAGTAAGCACAATACCATGAAACCGTAAAACCGTGATATTTTTATCCAAGGTTATTATACAGTCTGAATCTTATACCGGCCCATGCCTAGTTTTCTTTTATATATATTTTTGTGTAATTAATTCTCATTATTTTAAAAATATTATACAAGGCATGGCAGAACCACCAGACTATGTACAAACAGAAGCACAACACTGACACACATTTGACAGGAGCTGTCAAAACCACTGACAAAGAAATGAGTGGGAAGTGACGTTTTTAAGTACGAATGTACCTTTATAACCCAATTTTAACAAATTATATCAAGTTTAACTGTACCTATACCACCCCATTTAAATAGCTAGATCCCTTAGTTCTCAAAAGAGAATGACAATTTACAGGATTTAATATTCAGACTTCAGTGGCAATTATGTTACTGCATATTCTGCTTTATAAACAGCATTAACAGACAAATGTGTTTTAACAAATAACGTATCCCTTACCACACATCTACAACTTACCGTTCATTCTGAAAATCCAGATTAAGCTTTTTAGTAAGCGACATGAATCGCCGTGGTGTCGGTCCCCAAAAAATGTCAGATTAATCCCAAGAGGTGTTTAACATTGTCTGTATTTTAAGTCTCTCCATAGTTTCCTTTGCAGAGCAGTTAATCGTTACTGAACAACCGAGGCCTAGCTCAGACAACACTGACACTTTTTTGAAGCCGTTTAATGCATCAGAACTATCAAAAAGATGTTTTATGACGCAACCCAAGACTTTACTGATAATCATAAGTGAACTGTCTCTAAAGTGCTAAACTCTGTATCGTTTTGCTAACCAGAGCTCGCTAATGCCACTGCACGGCGTTCGTGTCAGTCACATGACAGTACTCTTGTGTCACGTGACAGCAACATTGTCACATGGGTTAAACACACAGCTAATTTTATAATTAATAGTACACGTTTATAAAAATTGCATTATTTCGATCATTTAAACCTGTTTTCGACTCAAGTTACATCGGTCGCTGTTAAAATTTGAGTAAGATTTAAAATGATTATTCACTCAAACATTTATCTGCCTCGTGACGTTGCAAAACCAGTTTTTTTCTCTTCAGTGAAACACAAAATGAAATGTTTGACAGAATTTTAGAAACTGCTACTCATATTGTATGTTTTTCCCATTCAGTGAAACGTAAAGGTGACTGAGACTCCCAGAGAGCATAACAGGTCATTTCAGAGGAAAATATTGATCCAAAGTTTGGAAAAAGACAGTGAGTAATTGACAGAAGTTTATTTTTTAAGCATGTATTGCATAAATATTACGCATTCGTTCATTTATTGAAGTGTCTTATATAATAAGATTATTCTATTTTATACAATGTTTATAAGTTGGCCTAGCACTTAAATAAGCTTAGGCTACCTCATTTTTACCGACATTTCATTAATTAAAAATGTATAAGAGCAATACTCAGATATGGGATGTTTGGACAAAGTATGTTGAAAATAGTTTCTAACAGTTTCAAATACCAATAACACAGTTCTTATATATGAATTGCTGATGTTTAGTAAGAATGCATATTGAGGTAAATGGTTTATATTATGTTATTAAGACTTCCTCCTTAATAACATAATTTCAGAAAAGTATTATTTACAAATTCTAAATAGTGAAATCATATTAGCAGTCAATGACTATTAAAGTACTTCATTATTTAAAGTAAATAAAATATAATGTTGTTTTGAAGTCATATTTACATGTGATTTCCAGACCGAATATTCAAAATGCCATGGTAAACAATATAGGAAGTATGTGACAAGTTTTCACTGAAGGAATGTCCGAATATAAAACCACGTTACCTCAATGTAATACATATCGTGCCACTATTAAGTACAATATATTGTGATAATGAACATGCATTATATTGTTGTTGTGGGCATTATAATATACAGTGAATTCACTGCCTTAATTTTTAGAATGACTTTTGAGAATATTCAGATTCAGTACTTCATTATAGCTCTTGCTAGCCTATGCTGAAGACTTAATAGATTGGTAATTTCCAAACAAACCTTTTCAAATGTTAATCTATTCTAGCCTACATCTTGCTAAGAAAATTCTATGATTTTTTATAGGCCTATTGTTTGTTAACACTTTATAGGCTCTGGTTGTAACATTAATATGTTAAACTAAAATGTCACTGAAAATGAGCATCAACTTAGGTGATGATGATTTTCATATTTAATAATTTGTTAAAATAATTTCAGTAATTGTTTTATTTTATAAAGTTATTATTATACAATCATGTTAAGTTGTAAGTTTTTTAAGTCAACCATGGTTTTAATATAGTAAAAGTGTAATAACCATGTGTTTAGCCTGTCATTTGTATAACTACTAGTTTTACTACAAATACTGTGGTTAAACTATGGTCAGCATAGCAGCAACTACAATAGATTGTCATTTCGTTGTTGTTACTAAAATATTCTTTTTTTTTTTCTTCTTCTTTGTAGTAAAACCGTGGTAAATGTTCATGTCTTTAAATTCCAGTCATACAATACCAATTGCATACAGAATTCAATTTCAGATTAAAATGGCAGTCATATTCCGTTAGCATAGATTAATGGTGAAGTAACATCACTGTCGACCAGATAATAAGAAATAAAATGTTTTCAGAGTCTGCTGATTTATGTAAGCTCCATGGTTTCTCCTCCATAAATGACAGGATTACAGTGGTAAGATTGTACTGTTTTTGCTGTAACAAGCAGTGTGGTTCCTTCCTCGGTGGAGGGAAGAGGCAGGTTAGAGTTGTAGTGATGTTGATTCAGTCCGTCCTGGAAATCAGTTGTAGTTCTATCCGTATCTTCAGATTGCTTAGTGACATCCGAGTTCTTCTGTTCTTCACAAAGCACTGTGTGATTTGATTTACAAATCATTTAAATTGAAAATTATCTAGACTACATATTATATATATATTTTGGCAAAAACATGAAACTATAAGCAATTTTGACTTAAGGCAAGACACTGCAGGTGTATAAAAAATAACTAGAACTTGTTGTTGTTGTTGTTGTTGTTTTGTATTACAAGGCATTTTTTCATTAAATGTTGCTAATTTAAACACATTTCCAGTTCAAAAAGCCAAACAGTGAATGATGTCAGGTAAATTGTTTCATTTAATTATTGTTATTTTATTTGTTTATTACATATTAGTATCAAAGTTTTTTTCTGATGGGATTTTTTCCACTCCATAATTCAGAAAACACTGTGAACACTGACTTTACCAAACAAAATTGACATAATCAGGCCAATTGATCAAGTATTTAATCCAAACAAATCCTGCTTAAAAAAAATGTAAGAATAAAGGTTTGAAAAAAAAAGTTTCTAAAGTAAGGATTTATGACTGCATTTTATGAGGTATTTTTGAAAAAAAAGTCATTTTGTAATTGAGATTTACAGACACAAATTGATAAAATGCAACAATTGAAGCACTTAAAAGTTTTCCTTGTTTTTGTTTGTTTGTTTGTTTTGTTTCATTAAACTGAAAAAAGCACTTTGTGAAAATCTAAAACCCAAAATGTGAAAATTGACAGTTGACCTTTAGTGTCTTGTCTTGTGAGACAAAAGTCTCTGTTATTTTCTCAACATATAAAAAAAGTGTTTTTCACCATATACCTTTGTTCATGATGATGGGCTTACAGCTTTTTCTCTGTATCACTCGCAGAATAATAGTCAGTGCCATGAAAGCTCCCAGGAACACAAAAAACACGATCAAAATAAAACGCATATTTTGATTCTTTTCAACTTCATTTTCCGGTACTGAAACAAAACGAAGGCATCGAATGAGACAAATCATGCAACAAATATTCTGGACTTTGTAATACAATTCTGTTAAAAGAGTTTAAGACGTTCTGTTTTCTCTCAAGATAAAACCAATGAAGTTTCACAGAAGTGTACATAAAGTTAATTATGTATATAATATAATATAATATAATATAATATAATATAATATAATATAATATAATATAATATAATATAACATAATATAATATAGGCTTACATAAAACAACTTGCATAACTTTCTAAAGTGATGTGAACTTGCACTCAAAAAAATTACGTTTGCTGTTTGTTTCTTGAGATATTTTGGGGGACAACTTAATCGTTTTATGTTCAATTCACCAAAATTTGTAAAAACTATTAAGTTAACTTAATTCCTTCATGTTGTCCCAACACAAATCAATTTTGCAGAACCCAGCATTTTTTACAGTGTAGCATTACTATAATGTGCTTGTTTAACTTATTAATTAAATCTAAAATTAATTTAATCTTATTATTATCAAAAGATTTGAACCAGATATAAAGCCAGTACTTACTTGAGGAGCAAAACGTTTTGCAAATATTTGGTGGGGATTTGCATCTGATGGAGCAGTGCTGACACTCCTCGAGAAGTCCATCGTAATAATGATTCTTTGAACATTTCCCCTCAACATAAAAAGTCATGTATAGCAGCAAAATAAAGAGAAGCATCTTCTGCTGAGGTGTTGGGAGTCACTCAACTTGTGCAGCGGTTTACATTTTATTAAGCCAGTATGTAAATCTGCTTTAAGAAGGGGATGTCCCTCAGTATCTGTACTTTCAGTCAGTTGAACTTTTAGTCACATTTTCTAATAATAAAAAACTGCTCTTTTGTTTAGCTAAAAATAACTATTCATATAAGCTTATTCATATTAAAAGGGACATTGTGTTTTAAAATAAAGCTGTTTGAATAATTTTTCAAACAAAAAAAAATCAAGCAATGATTCCTAGATATAGCTTTCTATACGGTAGCAAAATTAGCAATAACAAAGTATATTTGATCAAGTATATATATGTCCTTTTGCATCTTCTTGTTAAAAATATATTCTCATTAATCTAATGTCACCACTTTCCACAAAAATTCATATTTCTAAAGGTTCCGTTGACTTAAAATTTTCACCAGATGTTGGTAACAACCAAAGAAATCCATATATGCAAAGAAAACTGTATTGATAAGTTTACACACCAATCATAAACAACCTTCTGCCCTTCCACAAATTAATATTAGCTGCTTCAGTTCAACATCTACATTGCCACAATGTTGAAAATGAATCCAGAGAAAACATTTCAGCAAGACAGTGATCCAAAACACAGCCAAGGAAAATCTCAGTTGATTTCAGAGAAAGTAAATCTAGCTGTAGCATGGCCCATTTAATCACCTGACTTAAAGCTATAATATAAAATACAAATTAAAGATCAGATTCGATAGATGAAACCCACAAACAATCAAGATCTTTACACTGTTGAAAAATTCACACCCGAGTAATTCGAGTGACTTAATTCTCCATATAAAAGTGAATAGTATGAATGAATTGTAATCTTGTACTTTTTAAAGTGAAAAAAAAACAGACTTAAAACTATACCAAGACAAACAAATCAATTTTAAAAAATTATTTATTTAGCAAAAGTCTGTATACATGAGACAAATTAGCTCTTTAGCACTGCTTATAAGATACAAAGAGATAATAGTAAAATATTACAATACACAACCAGCAGGAGGAAGAAAAATCATGTACATTAATTACACACACACACACACACACACACACGGGTAATTTACAAATAGGCAATAAAATAAGATTTATTTTTATTTTTTTATTTTATTTAATTTTAAATTGAAGAAAAAAATGCTTTTTTACTGTAAAAATGTCTATGGTGTGATATAATAAATAATTAAAACAATACTATACAAATAGTGTGAGAGTGATTTTATCTTTCTTGTTGAACACTTATCTTCATACAGTGCTGTCTACTTTATTTGAAATATAATTTTGAAATATAATATTATATGAAAATTGTATCTTCTCCATGACTTGTTGGACATGGTTCAATAAATAGGAGATT